GTCTTATTTACAATTCTATGAATAAGTCCCTAACATTAATTTATATTTTCAATCGATTTACTCCCTGCAAGGATATTCATTCGTTCACATATATATTTATTGATCAGCTCCGGTTGTTGCTTTGTTGTTGTTATTGTTTTTTATCTTTACTGCTCTTCGTTTTTCGATTTCGTTGCTTTTTGGCCGTGTGAATCATAAGCATTAAGCATAAAACCGACATTTAGCTGATTGATCTTAATAAGAATTCCAGGCTCGGGTGGAGTTGCGTTTTTTGGCTGCGTTCGCTAACGGATTCATGCGGCGGGTCAATAACATTTTGTTGCCAGTGTGTCCATACCAAAGCCCACCAGGCCCCCACTACCTCTGCCCCGCCCCCTTTTTGCAGTCATTGAGGGCGTTACTTGGGCTGCGCCTTGCGCAACATAACAAACTTTGTGTTTGTTTGTCTTAATACCCGTTTGCGATGTGAATATGGGTATATTGATTTCTTTGTGAAGTGTTGGTCAATCTGGGCGTAGCAACAAGAACTGACACTTGGGTATGATCTCCTGCAATCCATAAGTTTAGTGTTTTCCTTGGACAAGTATTAAACTATCGATTATGCTCGACTACAGCTTACATACATGTTTATTCTTGTTTCCATGCATTCCCATTGTTCACTTTTAATAAGTCCCCCAGCCAATCTTCTCTCAGAGAGCGAGAAGGAGTGAGCCTGTTGGAAATTGAAGTTTGCTTTTTATTTTTGTAAAGTTCTGTTTCATTTGGCTGCTTTTGGAAGTCTGTCTACACAAATATCAGAAATAATTGGATTGCTCTGTTCACATATGTATATAGAAACATATATTGGGATCAGATCGTTTGGAATTCGCAAATGTTGTGCTGTGGAGCGGATGTCTGTTGCCCAATTCATGATTGAAAAGCGTCGCCAAAAGTGCAAAATTTGCAAAGCTAATATCGAAAGACCTGAGCGAGAGAGAGAGAGAGAGAGACAGAGAAAGGGGGTGGTGAGGTCTTTACCCCCATTTCGTGGAGTCTGGGGCATTCTAAGAACTGTTGCATATTTCATTCACTTACATAAAAACAAAAAATCACTTTTAAAGTCAATTTGATGTAGATGTTGTGTAGATGAATTACTTGTTGCGTACCAGTGTGCACACTGGGTGTCTCCTACATACATATGTATATGTGCATATGTATGTACGTATATGCTCACATTCGCACATGTATTTTGTCAAACCATTTCTTAACTAATATTTGTTTTGAAGCACTTTAGCAAATGGCAGCGACAACCTGTTTAATGAAATCCAATCAAATATGTCTGACACGCAAATTGCAATTTTTTCCTAATTTTGTTGTAGAAAGATACACAGGGGAGTATTGGCTGTGTGTGCAGTATGTTGGTAGCTCTAGCTCTAAGCATACTACTTTTTCGAATACTGCTATATACTAGTAAATAATACTAAAACTACTACTATTACTGGTAATACCATTGTGTACTCCCACTTGTACTGCTAGTATATATATTATTCATTACTACTACTATTTACAAAATATTTCTACTATTTATAACAGTTGCTAATTCTTCACCTCTTTAAATTTCCTACTTTTATCTATTACTACTATTTTAATTTCCTACTACTATCTACTATTTCAAGTTCATTTTACTCTACTATATGCTACTGCTATTTTAATTTACTTTTACTATCACTACTATTACTACTAACTTCACAATTTATATTACTACTACAGCCACTGCTATTTCAAGTTACTTTTACTATCACTACTAACTCCACAATTCCTACTTTTACTACTACTACTTCGTCAATTCATACAATATGGCCCTACTTCTACTATCAAATTGATTGAGTCAATCTACTACTTGCTTTCGGATAATATACTCACTATTTATTTATATATTAAATAGAATTTCAAATAATTGTAGAGTATTCTGCAGTCCTTTACCGCTGTTTGCCAAATTACTACGCATTGCGCACTGCAAAGCCCCAAAAATTGGCGACACTTGCGACATTTTCGTTTCGTAATGTCTGGTGTCTAGCAATCGAATTAAATCAAATGCAATCGACTCTCACAGCAATTATGAAATATATATGTATATGTGTATATAGGTATAAACAGCATATCAAAGTCTTGTCTGCAGTTCAAATGAAACACAATTTGCGTAAAATTGAAGTGCTTCTGCTTCCACAGCCTTTTACTACTAAGTAGCGCACTTGATCAGATGCCACGCCCTCTGTCTCTCAACAGGCTAACACAGCCTTCACTCTGCTGCCCTTTATTATGCTTTTGTTTGTTGTTTTTGGTTTGKTTTGTTGTTGTTGTTGTTGTTTTGCTTCTTTTTTTCTGTGTGCAAACAAAAGGCGTCTAGATTACGTCTACGTCGTCAACAGACCCAAAAACCCAGACAGACGCTGCCTCAAGCTTTCTGCTGTCCCTGTCCCTCTCTCCATACCCGTATTCATCTCCATCTCTATCTCTGTCTTTGTCTCTGTCTCGCCCTCTTCCTCGTTTCTGGTTGCTCGTCTCTGTCTGGAAATTGGGTTCGCCTTGTCTGCTTTTTGTCTGCGGCTGCGTCCTTAGCCATTCTTTCGTCTTATTCCCCGTCTTCTTCTTCTTCTTCTTCCTTCTGTAGATGTTAGTCAAGTTTTTATTATTATTTTTTTCTGCTTAGGTTTATTGTTTGGATTTTGCATTTGATATCAGTTTTCGGCACATGGCTCGTCTGCCCTGTCGTCGGCTGGGCCCAAGCGAAATCAAAAGTGCTTCAAGTCGTGTGAATTTCGGATAGACTTTCTGATGACTCTAAATGACTTCCAAATTGCGGTATCTTGAAAAGAGTACAAACTTAAAGAAATAATGGGTGAGAACTTGTCTTTCTATTAGTTTATCACCATTTTTTTTTAAATTTTATTTAAATACAGAAGTTTAATAAAATATTTGCTAAATTTATATTAAAGAATTTCTCTTAAATTATTTCCAAACTTTTTAAGAAATAATACCAGAAATATGTATTATATATTTATATTAATATGAAAATAAATTAAGGTACATCTCGCTAGATATTCATCTCTCATTATTTAAACAAATAAAAACAATATATGTATATTTTTAAAATATTATTTCAAACTTTCTTTTAAGAAACTAGTAATAATAGTATAGTATAGTAATAATATCAATTTTAAATTCTCAAAAAATTTTGAATTTAGAAATTTGGAAATGTTTTTTAATCTCCTTCCTCTCGATATTATACACAGTTGAATTTTGCCACACAATCTGACACAAAACTTGCCAAAAAAAAAAAAAAAAAAAAAAACGATAGACAGACACACACACAGACAGACATTCGCACACACACATGTATGCATATCACACAAATCATGTCTGGATCTTTATTGTGAGAGTGACCTTGAATTTATGCAAATTGCTCAAGTGGGAAACAAAGTTTTTTGTCAAATTGAGAAATCAAGCTAAATAAAAAGAAGAGAAAAAAAAACAAGCCGCATTTGATTCAGAAAGACCTTGACATTGAGCTCGAAAGGGCTCGCCTCATATTAAATTATGTGATATCATCGCAGTTAGGCAGAATTTGCTTTCCAAATGAAATATGAATGCATTATAAACATACATATTTGTATAAATAGTAAATAACTGGTAATAAATAAATAAAACAATAGTAAATAACTGGCTTATGTCATTCGATTCACTTTTTACTTAACGCCCAGTGCAATCGGATGTGCTCAATGCTATTCTCATCTCTCTTTAAAAGGCAGACGAACATACTTATGTCATAAAGCCTTTATATATCCTTATATGTGTACATGTGCCACAATATGCAGCATCGCAAATTAATTACAGCTTTAAAGACAATTTGAAAAAGATTCTCTCTTGGGAAGTAATCAACTGGAAGATACCCTGCATTGCTTGCATAAAGAAGTTAATTATGGGCTTTCCAAAATACTTAATTTCTCCGTACTAAAGAGTTTCCGAAAGACATGTGACTCGCTTCACTCTTCACGAGAATCGCACAGAAGTCCCATTGCCATCCAGCTAAAGATGAATCCTGCGATACCCATTCAATGCAAGCAAATGCTTAAAGGGTATTCAAAATCACCAAAAAAACACATAATAAGCATCTGGGTACGGTCCGGCGGACAGCGTATCGATAACCCTTATCAAAAGTGCGGCATCTCGAGGCGAAAAATACAAATTATGCTTACAAACAAAAAAACGAAACATCGAAATGCTAAAAGTACACAAAATGCAACTGTGTGAGTGTGTGTGTGTGTGTGTGTGTGTGTGTGTGTGTGTGTGTGTGTTTTTATGTATTTGCTTTGCCATTGGAACTCGACTGAACGTTTTCGCCTTGGGGCCCACCATCAGAGCTATGGGCGTGGCACGCTTAAATCCCAAACGCCCCGCACTAAAAGCCTAAAAGAGAACAACAAACCCAAAGCTCTGAGATGCAAATTATGCGATATGGAAAAGTTCGATCAAATTGCAGTAATTTGCCCCGATGAGCGCTACCCGAAGAAGTTGCAAAGTAAAGCTCAAGCAATTGAGCTGAACAACAAATTTAGGTAGCCGTCTATATAAATGGCTTTTGAGAGACTTTATTTACTTATAATAAGCGGACACGTGCTAAGTGAACATACATATATTTTATAAAAGATATTTCCATATTATCGTAAAAAAAAAACAACGGGAAGATTTTTTATAAGTAGAGCTGCGAATGAGTAGAGCTTATGAAATGCATTTATCTTTTGCTATGCGAGGCTCGACAGATATTTTTTCTCTTTAAAGACGGTTCGCTAGGTCATTTTAGAAATAAGGGAGAACCTATTCTAAAGACAATATATACTCTCCAAACCATATACCATATCTATGCATTTTGAATGAGTCATATATATCATATCAAATATTTTTCAAATTAAACATAATTTGGAAATTTGTCTTGACTTTCGTTTCAAATTCTTAACTTTTCTAAGCTTAATAACTCAAATTTATGATTCTGAAAAGGTCTATACCAAATTCTCAAAAGTGCGAGCAAAATTTTGTTAAAAAAAATTTGTGTGTTGTCCACCACTTTATAGAGTAGAATATCCACGAAAATGACCAAGAGTTCCCGGTTGCAACAGGAGATTCAGCTATTGCGAAATGAGTTGGCGATGGTACGGGGGGAGCGGGATGAGCTCTGGCGGAAGCATGATTCGCACTTCCAGCTGTGCAGCGGTTGTGCGGATAGCTCTGTAAAAAATGGGAATAATCCGAGCAGCAGAAGCGACAGGCCCATCACTCCCAATCAAGATTTATATATTGCATATTTGGAGGAACAGATACAGCGGACCCGATTCAAATACAAGAAACAAATGGGCGAAGTGAAGTGCAGCGCCAGTCTATTGGAGACAAAGCTACAGAACGTTCGGATGGAAATGAACTACATCAGTGCCAAGGCCCAGAAGGTGGACAAGCTACAGAAGAGCATTAATGAACTTAAGTCAAAGCTCAGTCGTCGGGATATGATCATATCTCGCTATAACGAACAGCATGCTGCCTTTCTTGAGTTAATTAACAATTTGGATAAGGAACCAAATGCCCTGCGTGATGCGCCACAGCAACTTCAAAAGATTGTTTCAAAGAGCGTTGATGGCTGTGAAGAAAAGAGAAAGGATTCGGTAATTCGATCTAGATGCAAACCTAACGAATTATTGAACTTTTCATGTTTGAGCACAGCACTAAAAAACAAACTGGCGCGCAAATAATTTCATCTGTCTTTTTGTTTTTCTTTAATATATTTGACGAAGCAAATCTTGAAAGCTGTGTAAAAAATTCATATTTATTATTGTTTGATGTTTGTAAATTTTCTATGTTCAGATTGGATATATCTAAAGTATTAAAGTGAAGTGCAGATCAAAAACGTTGCTTCTAGTTTATGTAATTCTCTTTGTGGGAGCTATCATTCATTAATACTTCGCTCAGAGCGGAACTTCGGTCAGCAATTCGTTGGCTGGAAATTCGTAGAATTTCACTTACTCCAAGTTCAGTGACAATGTTGCCTAGGTTATTGCACTGTAATTCACGAAAATATATATTGTATAATCAAACTCTGGGGCGGTGTAATTGAAGACAAATTATACTTATTTGTTTTATTATTATGTACTTAATTGCTTCCTATTTCATCCAAATTTACATTAATTCATTCATTAATTTTATAATTCATTTCAAAATATTTACATGTTATTTATATATATTTAAATCTGATGAAAAATAAACAGGTCATAAAATCGCAAGTTAGCTGGTTTCAAGAAGTATGTATATAAGAAAGTGGCTTACAGACTAGATTGCTTTATCCGATCCTATAAAATCGCTCAATGTGTGTCTTATAAAAAATGGTTTGAAAACTTAATATGGCAATCTCTTATGCAAACAGTTTATACCGTTATACAAAAGATTTTTATATTTTTATATTTTAGTTCAGTATGTAGAGCATCAAATTAGGTATTCAATATTTTGATTAAATTCACAACAATTTCATCTTACTCTGCAGCTGAACAAATGGTAAAAATGTCACGTTTTGGTCTTTCGATTGGACTTTCTTGACAGCAATAAGTAAGACTTGCTAGCGTTTACGTTTACTTTGTTCGTCGCTGCAGTCGGTGTATCCTAATGCGAAATTTGTGCTAATAAGCACGTAGCATATTTCCCATAAATACTGCCAGCACCTAGTCCAAAAATGACGTAGGTCACGCCTCGGAACGTCTATTGAATTCTAATGGGTAATGCAGCGATTGCACCAGGAAGTGCGTGCAGCAAGCACTAAGCGATCGTTGGTCAATTGAAGTTATTTGTGGCAAACATAAACCAAATGCAAATTGAAATTGATTGAGCGTAGTTGACAGTGATGAGAATTTTTAGAAAATAAAAAGAACTAGGTCAAAAGTTCAGAGAGTATCCAATATAACTCTTAATAGATAATTAGTTAATTGCATGACAACTTCCACTTGATGTATAATCTTATCTTTGAGTCTAGCGTGATTCAAAAACCTATGATGAAATTGACCGTTACGCATTAATTTAAAAGGCGCTAAACAATTTCAATCGGCCTTCATTTACAATTAGTATGCATTATATTTGCCTTAAATTTTAGGTTTATATATGGCGTAGAGGTACATATACGACGACCCTGAGCCGTTTTCGTAACGTGTTTGTCTCTTTCGTCGCTAGCAAAGCCAACGAGTGTGACGTCACTGCCAACGGGCTCCACTCTAAGAACAATTACAAAATAAAAATACTGTTTTACATTTTCTGTTCAATTATTATTATTAATGCTTAGCTAAATTGTGTACATTACATTATTACATTAATTAGCGACTAAGTTCGGCAGTGGCACTTTGGTGTATCTTTTTCTTATGTGCCCGAGAAGCTTCTAAAATTATTTTTCAGCAACAGCACAACAAAGAATATGCCCACAGCGATGGTAAACAACTGGACGTTGATTACTTTCGAGTCGACTAAGGCCTGCAGCATATTGTAGATGCTTTCGCTGCGTACTTCGCCACCACAGCAGTCCATATGTATATAACTAATATTAAGTACGTTGGTCGATATTTAAAAACTACAGCTATCCTCGCGTTATATGTGTCCAAAATCAAGTCTTTTTCTAACTTTTTTTTGTATGGGGAAACAGCTGTTCCAACTGAGTGTTTACTAAAGCAGTGTTGACGAATGTGCGATAGCTCGTTGGATATATGGCAACGCTGCCAACAGCTGTTAACTTCAATTAATTGTGTATATCCAAAATGTATTATTTAAATAACTTTATCTTAAAAGTATTTAAATACGCAACCATTGCAAAGAAAATCTTGCTATGAAATATATAATTATCTCAACAATACCTCCAATTTAAATGCATTCCACCCACATACTCCACAGGAGCCGAAACAAAACTCAAAAGCAAATAGCATCTCATGAACTGTGGGTTTTGTTTTATTATTTAGCTTAACATCACTATTCGCTAACTAGGACAGTTCGTTTATTCGTCATTCTCATAATCAGCAGGATTCTTACGCAGCAAAGCTGTGTGCTTGCGTTCGGTCAAGTCGAAGATCAAATAGCCCACAATGAAGGCTGCAAGTGAACGAATCATTAGATCAAGAAAGTAATGAAATTAACTAAGAAACTTACGTGGCAGCACACGGAAGATGTTAGAGCGGATGCGGCGCATAAAGTTGGGTACACCATGGCTGATCGCACCGGCAAAGGCGCGCTGCTCGAAGGGCGACAGTTTGTAGGTGACAATGCCGTGAACCTTGGCGAGGTTGCCGAAATGGGCGCCGTTCAGGATCGATGATACACGCATGGTTCAAGCTGTGGACATGTTGAGGAGAGAGGGTTATTGATATTGAGTTTACAAACCACATATAAAGCCAACAAGGATTTGGATAAAAACACAAATAGTTATTATAAACATTCTGCACTTAGCCTCAAAGAGGTTATGTAATTTTTGCACTGCGAACGTCTGCAACAGCGGATAGTTGCCTGCACTTATGCTAGCCAATAATGGGTCATATTTATAGTGCCCAGCACTTGGCAAATTTTTTGGCAATTATTACGTTAATTATTTACCTTGACAAATCAGAATTTGTGCCTTAAATTAGAATAAACGCTCGGATGACGTCTGTTTGCTTCAGCTGCTGCTTCTGACAGTGCTATATAACATCTGTTAAATTGACATGAAACTGTTAGCATTTCGATAAAACTAAAAAAGTTGTCGACAGGCCACCACAATACCAGGCTACTTTTCAGCTCGAACAACAATCCAAGTTGCGAACGCCAACTGTTTGTAAAAACATTAATTTATTAAAGAAAACCTTATAAAATTGAATCGAAATGGCCGCGAAAGTAGCTAGCAGCACAAGCAAGGTGTTTCAAAATGTAAGTATACGATTGGCAACTGTTGGCATACCAGAGTAACCTCACTTTGCTCTCTTACCTGCTGAGCACATTCGAGGCGTTGACTAATCGCATTTGTTTCTGTTTTATATATAGCACGACGATGTGCATATTTCCTTTGAGGATCAACAGCGTATCAATCGCTTTGCCAAGCACAATGTGCGCATGGATAACTTGAAAATGGAGCTGGAGATGAAGAAGAACGATCTCAAATGCGTGGAAGAGGCACTGGAAGAAATTGAGCTATTCGACGAGGATGAAGATATTCCCATTCTGATTGGCGAAGTATTTCTCTCACACAAACTGAACAAAACACAACAACTGCTCGCTGAGACGAAAGAAGAAGCCATTAAAGAAATTGCCAGCATTGAGGCCAAGGCAAAGGTCATCAAGGCAGAGATGGATGAGCTCAAAGCACATCTCTATCAGCGGTTCGGCAGCAACATCTCCCTGGAAAACTAGGACTAAGCAGACGATAACAAGTGAAACATTTTCAATCAAATATATATACTAAATTTAATTTAAATTCCGATCATGATATATTTATTCGTTTGACTACAGCACTAAATAATATATTATCAGTCCAATTATCAGCAATGTAACCACCATGCCACCTAGAAAGATTCGCCGATCCTCCACCAACCTCCGCTCGATCAACTTCATTGTGTGATTGGATAATCCCAGTGTGCTGCCAATAGCCTGTATACGTTTATGGGCACCGCTTAGCGTCATTCGCTGTGATATAAGACTTTCCAGTATGCCACTGCCAGATGCAATCATGTCGTCTACACCCCGATGGGCGTTGCCCATCTGTGTGTGATGTTGCAACTCGTAATCTAGTTGGAGGCACGTCTCCGATGGAGCCGTGCTGTTTGCAGCGAATCTATGGTTAAGCAGCTGCTCCCGCTCACTTATTTCCTGCAGCCGACGCTGGCGACGATCCCGTGCGTGCTGCAGTGATGTTTGCAAATGCCTCAAATCATATTTAAGCTGATCTATCCGCAGCTTTGAGCTCTGTCGCTGTGAGGGCGGCACCTTGAAAAGCAACACATCGAGCCGGTCGCAGTTGCTATAAAAATTTAACATATTTAATCAGCTGTTAGGGATACGCACACAGGTGACTCACGAGTTAGCTTGGGTAATTTTAACTTGTATTGCATTCTCCACGTCAAGCGCTTCTTGTGGTGTGATTTGGCCAAGTCGCTGAAAGCATTGCTCAATTTCCTTGACCGTGTTATTTGTTTGGTGGTACAGTGTTTCCATTGTCTGGTAGGCAGCAGGGTAGTCGTCTAGATAGACCTCTAATTACTGAATTATCTGAGAAATTAACACGTAAAAATTGATTCGTTTCAAAAAGCTGACGCGTTGCATATAGTCCAATTGGTTAAGTGCGTTGTTATCGTACTAGCCTATCGGTAATCGACATTTCGTGTCACCTGCCGTCTATATGTCTGGCAACGCTTTTCTAAGAAAATGTGCTAATTAAAACCATACCTAAGTGTGCGATCAAAGAATACGCTAAAATAAGCCAAAACACACACACACTCTAGGATAAACCACAATGGCGCATACATCTAGTACCGGCGTTGGTAAGAATTTTATTTGTAAAATTAACAATTTGGCAACGAAATTGATTGAAAAACACGTGCCCGCGAGTACAGCCAAGATGTTGGCAGTATTTTGTCATCAAAAAGTGCGAAAGTTCGGCGTAAAACGAGTGCGCAAAACGTCTTTTTATTGAACGATGACGGGCCGCTGCCGCAGCGCTTCCACTGCCCCGCTCAATGTGAAAATGAAAAGAAAGCAAATGGCAAAAAAAAAGTCCGATAAAGCGCGAGCTCACATTAAATTCATATTGGAAAATAAGCAAACAAACCATTGTCTATTGCGTTTGTCTCCCAGCAAGTTCCAATTGCAGTTGCCGTCACTATGCAGCAATTTTTCTTCGTGACTTGACAATTTCGGTGGGGCCCGCACCCCACACACACATACACGGACACCCCCTTTGCCGTTCGATGTGTCCCTTTTCAATTGTTGTATGTGTGTGTTTTTTTGCTCGTTTGCTCAGCCACTTGGTTTTATGCTCTTTGCCTTTGCTGTTAACCAAAGTGCTTCTTTAATTTCTAATTAAATTAGTTAGCCTGCTGCGTCTAAGAGTCTGGCTGCAAATTTCGCATATTGCGCATAATATCTTTAGCATTTGCCTGCAAATTATGTCGTGTGTGCAAGTGGGCAGGAGTCGGGGGAGCGCAGTGGACTGTTGGAGCTAACCAGGCAACCAAGCAACTAACCAACCAATACCACACCCTACGTCCGTCCGGTATTCGTATTTAATTTTTTATTCTACTTACGAAAATGAGTGCAAAGCAAAGGAAGAACAACGCAAGACACACTGGCCAATAACAACAATAGCAGCAACAGCAACAACAACAATATGAGYTTTGAGCAAAAGAAGAGCGCGAAGAGAACGTCTACTAAGAAACACATGACCTCCTCGCGCTAAATACACGCTTTATGCCTTAATTACAACCTTCGGCCCATGCAAAGTTAAATGGAAATTTATAGTTGCCTAAATTTTGTTGATTTTCAGTGGTGCCACGAAATTTCCGCTTACTGGAGGAGCTGGATCAGGGCCAGAAGGGTGTAGGCGATGGCACCATATCATGGGGTCTGGAGAACGATGATGATATGACACTTACCTATTGGATTGGCATGATTATCGGCCCCCCTAGAGTAAGTGTACCCAACTAACTGATGAATGCAAGCGTCATCACATTCATCTACGTCACGTATAAATAGACTGCGTAACGAATGGGTTTCTTATCGGTCGAGATTATTGTTATGAAAGATATTGTATAGATATAGATATTGGTGATGTTAGATATAATCGATTGCGTAAATGCAAATTATGTCCGTGTGAAAACTATGCAAATGACAATTAAATTTGATTAACCAATATGTGAACTAGATGGAAACATGTTTTTGAAGATTAATACGATTCCCAAATAAGTACAAAAAAAAAAAAAATAATAATAATAATAATAATAACGATATTTTAATATGTAAGGGGACAAATTAAAAGCTTATAAGAGTAGATGTATAGAAGAGATTTTAATTAAAATTCAATTGAAATTAGTTTAAGATATAAATTAAGAAAAGCCAAAAAACTTATCAAGCCAAAATGTAACCAGACTTATAGACTCATTTCATTTGTTATATAAAATAGATTAAAACATCCTATTAGAACAGTTGATAACAAAAATTAAGAGATAAGCTCTATGCAACGAATCATTTTGGGCGACAACAAGAAATTTGAAATTCTTTTAGAAATATTTAAGCTATTTAAATAGGCACTGAGTCTGGTATGAATCACGAAATGGTGCAGTGGCAGCACACGCTGACTCATCGATAGAGCAGGAGAGCCTGTCCGGGTAATAATTGCTAGTTGATGGTAAGAGTGCAGGGAGATACATACGTGCATTGTGTATAATCGCTAGTTATTAAATGCATATTTCTAATACATATTCACTGATTCGCATGACTTTGTCTTTTTCTCTTGTAGACACCATTCGAGAATCGAATGTATTCACTAAAGATCGAGTGCGGCGAACGTTATCCGGATGAGCCACCAACGCTCAGGTTTTTAACAAAAGTTAATATAAATTGCATTAATCAGAATAATGGTGTGGTAAGTAGAGCATCGATCACTACTCTTATATATTGATAATCTAAACCAAATGTGTTCTGTGTAACAGGTTGATCATAGATCAGTGCCCATGTTGTCCAGGTGGAGTCGGGAGTATACCATTAAAACGATGCTTCAGGAAATACGTAGGATTATGACCATGAAAGAGAACTTGAAGTTGGCACAACCGCCAGAAGGTAGCTGTTTTTAGTTGGCAACAACGATAAAAACAAAATCAACAGCAACACAACAACAACCTACAACCACAACAGCAACAACAACAACAACAAACTGCAGCAGCATCAACAACCACAACAGCATTACACACAACTGCCACTGCAACAGAAACAGCAACAGCAACAACTACACTCGGCTGATTGTGCATGAGTGTTAAGAGGCGCGTGCCGGCCATTGGTAAGTCGCCTCGATCCTCTACAGAGTTGTGTGTAATGTGAAAGAGAGACGGGAGAGAGATAGAGAGAGAGAGAGAAAGAGGGGGCGGCCGTTAGAGAGGAGGAGCCAAGTAGCTGCATTATTGTTTTTGTTGTCTGTTGTACTTCTTGAATGTGTGTGTGTGTTCAGCAGCAGAAAGAACTAAAGCTAAATATCTATACTATAAGTGTAAACAACAGCAACTGCAACAAGAAGAAGCAGGAGAAGAACAGCCAGAGCAAACGTCACTAAATATAATAAATGGTCGTCATCCCTTCCGTCATCGATCGTCGTACGAATGTCATCATGTTTGGTTACAAAACCCATTCTTAACTAAGAAATAAAACAACTCAATGTAAAAGAATGATTAAGAAAGATAAAACAACAAACACACACACCTACACCCTTGCTAAACAAAAAAGGAGACATTTATAATTTTAATCAAGCAATTTACAAAAAAATCCGTATAAGATAAAGAAATTCAGCGAGTTCTGTTTTCGTTGCATCGAAGAAGACGAAACGTAATTATTGTTTTGCATAACTAAAAAATTTATTAATTATATA